GCTTTTTTCACATTAATGCTGATGACACAGCAGTTCACTTAATCTATAGAATAGATGCTGAAAATATCCTTTCTTATGCTCGTTTGATAGCAATTGACTTTTTCAAATTCTGCACTAGGCGAAAGGGTGCCTTTCGATCGGAAGGGAATCGTGCAAGTATCAGTATTCTCAAGATTACCGAATGTTTAATTAAATTTCATCATAATTTTCTATTTATAATAATACCATATTGTGTGCATCCTCGGCTATGAGCCTATTTCCCCTACTGGGTTGGCAAAATTTCTTGCAATGGTGTGACGCCACTTCAACGTACTCTGCGCCGACCTGACAGACAGGTCGACCTAAAGTCGTGTATGCTCACAAAGGCACCCACGTTTGCATTTTAAACACACGCACCAGGCCAAAAAGGGCCCTGACCTTATTCAATTCATCCAACAAAACGTCAAACAACGCAGACTTACGCGGTCTGTCCTGCATGCTACCGCATTGTTGGCCGAATTTAATGTTGTCTGAAGCTTTAAATATGTTTCTTTGTGTAGTTAAGCTATTCATTATTTCAGAAAATGTCAAACTTATAAGAGGTAGGCGCGATCACTGGAACAAGAGCTTTATTAGCCCCACCCTTCTGGTTCTTGCCCACACCCATTATCAGAGACAGTGGCAGAAACGGGGATTCGGGCACAGGAGGTTGCATTAGTGATATCATGCAGTCGCTATCCTACTGCATACCAATGATAATTAACCGCCCCCGTTTTCATCGAGAACTATTTCCTACTGGTGCGATAATGGCTTGATAGCGGGCATGTAAGTCGTTAATTTTTGAAATCTAGTCATCTGTGTCGGATGCTGGCGTGACGATTGCTCGGTCATCTGGCTCACCGGCCTGCGCACTCTCCGAGTGGCGAATTACTTTGGCCAGACTATGCCTCAGCATCGACTATGCAGTTAGGATGTCGCTTCACCCATCGCTTAAGAACATTTCTAATGGTGTAATATTTGTTGACGGCCGAAGGAAGAAAACCTCGTCGATATGTAGATGCTGCTATTTCAGCTTATGCATACATCTTTCAAATGATCTTTCTTTTAACCACCAATTAGATAATTGCAACCTGCACAACACTTCCCCTGTGCGTGAAGGGTAGATCTCACAGACACAGAAGGAATCCGACTGCAAGGAACAAAATATGACTAACCCACGCTTGTAATTTCATTGGAATTCATTTGCATTAGCAGTGGCCATTCTAAATCTATAAGGTAGGTTTTATTTGGAGGGAAATGTGACAAGACAGCAAAAATAACTTTCATATTCTTGGCACGAATTACTGTTCCGAAATGTTTAAATGGACACGCGTTTTTAGCATGAATTGCTACGGAAGTAAGTTATATGTTTTTGTGTGCTTGAAGCCAAGCCCTACATTTAGGGAAGTTTGCGTAAGACATTAGACCAGAGTTGTTTACTGTGATATTTTCACAAACTGCACCCGGTATTTGATAAAACCCATAAACGAGGGTCAGATTTATTGCGATGATTGCTACAGGAATACTGAGACTTTGAACGCACCGTAATGACTCCGGATAATGTTCCAAAATTTCTGTAGGCTTACCTGAGATCTGCTAGTATTTTTTTTCGATTAGAAACAACTTTCTGACCTGAAAATCACTATTCGTGGCTAAAGCAATGGAAAGTGAGAAATAAACTACTCATATAATGCGTTCGTGCGGGTGAGAATGGAACATGATATTGAGATAAAAGGCTATCTAGAAGAACGTTTCGCAAATACCCAAAATTGTGGTGAGGAATATGCCGCATTCAAAGTTTTTTTCGCAATTACTTCCTGGATTGACTGTTATGTAGCACCTACTACAATGTTCTAATTAAACCATCTGTGCTCCTCGTTGTAGTGCACTGTACACCGAAAAAGCACTAAAGTGATGGACATGGTCTCTGTCGTAAGGCCAAAAGTCATGAGCAAATTGTAACCATTGTCATCTTCCACTCGGGTTCTAAAAGGTAATATATATCAATTGAAGACAAATGGTACTACTTGAGTACGGGAGGAAAAATAAATAGCGTAGCTACCACTGTGAGCGTACGTCTTGTCTGATGTCTCAACGGTGCGCGTCAGTCTGCGTATCGGGGGAGAAAAAAGAGAGAGTGCGTTCGGTCAGAATGACGAATTGGCTTTCAAATCAGCTTGAGACGTTTGCTCTGCACAAATCACTTATCAGTATAGTGTTGTCCAGATGCAGTACATCTCATGGTACCTAGGCGAAGGCGGGTTCTTAGGCGATAAGTATCTCCCTGGGCAAGAATTTGGCCCTGCCGCTATGAAAAGTAATCGCTGGAGCGGCTCACAAGTTGTTGACTGAGTATTGTTAAGGTGTGGCATTCGCTATTTCGCATTTGCCCTAATTGGTATCGCACTGTGCACTTTTTGAATTATTAATCACTTCTAACGGGCTATCTCTATTTCAAGCGACTGTGAAACGAGGACATAATGCACCTTTCACTCGTAGACGAGCCGTGAACACGGTCATTTTTGATGGGTTGAGGTAGGATGGTGTTCCATTGCATTTAAAATTTAACAGTAGCTTCTGTATCGTTACCCCACAACTTGGCGACATTTTGCTGATAAACGTCACTGATACATGCGTCTTCACAATTGTCCACTCCATTTATTAACGCAAAAATCCATACCGAATGCAATAAACCTTACTGTAGACATTACCATCATAGTGTTAATTAGGATCAGGGAAATCTCGTTTGCGCAGCATTATTTTAAAGGGTATGACTTGAAGCTAGAGTATTTCGTAATTATGACAACTGCTGAAGACAATCTCGCGACTGGACACAAAATAATATCCGTTTGCGATACAGTTAATAGTCACTTGTACCCATAATTACCAGGTTTAATTGAATTGCCCTAGGCGTTATATGAATAAGTAATATAGGTGATCGACACCATATTCGTTGCAGCGCTGAGTCGTAGGCTAGCAGACGTAGTGTGGGGTTCAAATGGTGTTAGAATTCTGGCCGACGTTAATTTTAGTCAACACAGAAACTTTATGCAAGCGCATAAGTGCAAAGCGTTCGCATATGACAGCAAACTCTGGGAAGTCCTCATTATCGTTGCCGACGAATGGAATGGCTGTTCTCGTTGGCATACAACCTTGCTTAATTTGAACAAGTGCACCGTACCGCATCATGCAGATGGCATCCAGGTATCAAGTCTGGGCATCTAACATCTGAAAAACTTATCTAGCGAAAGGAAGGAAAGAAGCCCCTGAAATTTGAAGGACAAATATGTCATACATTTGATAAATCTGAGGCTTGCCATCATGTGGACCTTGGGAATTTCGGACGAAGATTGTTCTTGAGACGTTTTCAGCCGCAAGATGAATACACAATCTAGTACCAAGAGCCCTGGCTTCACCTGCATTTTTGCCTATTTCGGAGGATATTGACATTGTCTGTCTAGCTTACAAGCAGACGGAAACTACGGCTAAAGACAGTTGTGCGAGATTTAGATAGAAATCTGTCGTATCATGAATGGGTTCGATTTCGATCTCGGGTGCAGAGACCATTTTTTATTCGTAAGTTCAACAAAACTTTGCGAAAACGCCATCAAACAATAGCAGTTCCAATGCATATCTGAAGTAACAAAGTTATTTTGTTTACGTCGTATGGTAAAACCTTGGCATCGTTTCCCTATTTGGTTCTGTAATTAACCAGTCTGAAGAAAAAGTCACATCTACCTTAGTAGGACGCGTGTTGCAGCAACATGTTTGCTAAGACTTATACAATCAAATCTTCGACCTTGATGCATTTGCTTTGGAGAAACAAGCTTAGTCTTCGAGAATATGCGCTTACCATGGAGCTAGAGAGTGAATACTTGAATTTCGGGACAGGATACTGATCAGAGATATGCACTGATCTCAGCGTGCGGTAGTTGTCACGCAGTTGCCAATCGCCAGTCATATTTGGTTCAAGATGGAGGGGTGATGTCCAGCAGCTTTAGGACTGTCTTCGTACTCGGATTCGGTGATCTTTAAACGGTCCAGAGTTCAATGGTAACGATGTGACACGTGACTGTAGGTTTAAACTTCACTACTCGAAATGAAGTGCTGGTCAGACAGGGGAGCTTCCTGAGGAGGGAGTTGGCAGGACAGTCAAAGATGAGCAAGGTAGTAAAAGGGTTGTGGCACGGACTCAATTCAGACTGCAAGGAAGCAAGAAGTTTCGTGAGGTCGTCGACAGACCGCGAATATCTAAATCTACGAGTATTTTGATGTGAGTTAAGAAGTTAACCCCTGTGAGGACGAAGGAAACATCGACGATTACAAAAACCCACAAAAACTGTCAAGAGTCCAAATTAAATATAATGGAACGCCGTTTAAAGGTTGAAATTCTGAAAATGTTGGTAGCTTTGAGTCATAACGGGCTGCGCAGTTTGTGTCCAGCCGGGGTTAGTGGATGCATGCCAACTTCGGGACCAGACTAAACAAGGAAATTACTGCCGACGAGAGTGTGCCAGAGGAATGAGTAGCGAGTCAGTGAACTCACCAAGAGAAGGCCAGATGCTGCGAGTTCATGGACGAGAACGGCACAAATCTGCTTCAGAAGAAGGTGACTGAACGAGCCTGTGAGCAGAGAGCGACACGCGATGCAGCGCTGGGGAACAAATTCCACAAACTGCCTGATCCAACGTCATTCCCTCCTTATGACTCACAAGCCGCGCGAAATACTCCCGAAGGTCGAACGCGATGCACTAAGAGAACTCAAGGCCGACAAGGATATCGTCATCGTGCCCGAGGACAAGGGGCGTTCAACTCTCGTATTGGACAGAACAGACTACCTTCAGAAGGCCTAAAACCTACTGGAGGATCGCCAGTTTTATTTCCCATGTAAAACCAACCCCGTAAAAACTCTGACACGCGAAATTAATGCGACACTTTTGGCACTGGAGAACTCGGATGCAATAACACCGACCGATCGACGCATGGCGAGTGTCCAAGAAACCGCCTTGGCCCGATTCTATGGTCTCCCCAAGGTGCACAAGGAGGGCGTTCCTCTCCGGCCTATTGTATCGCTCAAAGGCATTTCAACGAACGAACTGGCAAAATGGTTATTTCAGCGCCTTAAATGTCTGACAGCTGATTCGAACACCACCGTCTGTTCGTCAACACAATTCCTGGAGAAGCTTAAAGGAGTAAGTACCCTGTCAAATGAGGTCATGGTATCTTTTGATGTCACGTCCCTCTTTACATCTATCCCCCAGGATCTGGCAATTGAGACCGTCGGGCTACTTCTACGAAGCAAATACAATGAAACGAAGAATCGTCTCGGACATGCCCAAATCCTTCAGCTCTTAAAGTTCTGCCTCAGGGTGTACTTTACGTTAGACGGAACAATCTACGAGCATATGAAGGGAACTCCAATGGGCTCGCCGATTTCGGGATTCATCGCCGAGGCGGTCCTAGAGCGGTTGGAGTCACTGGTCTTCCAAAACCACGGACCGAAATTCTGGGCTCGGCATGTGGACGATAACTTCGTCGTTATCGAAGGGGATCAGGTGCTAACGTTAAAAGAACGTCTTAACAGCGTTTTCCCGGACATACAATTTATGATGGAGGAGGAAGAAAATAACCAGTTGGCATTCCTTGATGTTCTCGTCTGTCGCAAAGATTGTGGTGGCCTAAAGACCAAAGTGTTCAGAGAAGCAACGAACACGACGCAAATTCTGAATTTCAACAGTAACCACCCAAACGCACTTGCGTACGAATCGCTATTTCGGCGTGTTTAGACGCACTGCAGTGAGCCGGAAGACGAGGTAGCCGAACTCCAATATCTTCGACAGCTTTTGAGAGAAAATGTTTACCCGCGCAACTTCGTCAACCGGTGAATGCGCAGAGAAGACCAGAAAGAGAACCGTGCCGACCCCAGATTCTGGCGAGCGATCCCGTACATCAAGAATGTATCCGAGGCCGTTACCCGCCTTCTTGCACCTCTTGGGGTTGGAGTTGCACACAGACTAGAGGCCACCATGAGGCGTCAGGTGATGAGACCGAAAGACCCACTGCCACGGCAAGAAACATCTGGAGTCGTTTACCGGATCTGGTGCAGTTGCAGACAAAGCAACAACGTCGGAGAAACTGGAAGACTGCTCCGAATGCGAATTGCCGAACACGCGACAGCGGTACGGAGAAATGACGCCAACTCTCAACTCGCGGACCATTCGACGATACCCGGCCACACATTCAAATTCGATGAGGCCGAAATTCTCGCGAGAGGGGATAGTCGCGTGAGCCGCGAGTTGCCTGAGTCATGGTTCTCGGGACCTCAGTTTATCAACAAGTGCAACGACATCCCCACTCCATATTCCGTGCTGAGGCATAGGCTGGCCAAAGCAATTGACCCCTCGGGGAGCGCGCGAGCCGGTGCCCCAGCAGGCCGAGCAATCATCACGCCAACATCGAAAACGGGTGATGGCATTTCGGCAGTTAACAACTTGCATGTCGGTCATCAAGCCATTAGCGCACCAGCGAGCAGCCATCCTCGATAAAGGGGAGCGCAGTTAATTGCTATAGGTAGATGGTAGCATAGCCACTGCATCCTATAAATACTGCGATTTCCTGTGCACGAGTCACCCTTTTCTGCCACTGTGTCTGATGATGGATTCAACTGAGAAACCGAAACGTCAGGCGAATAAAACCCTTGTTCCAGCGATCGTTTCTTTTTCTGATAAGTTCATTTTTTCTCTGGGATATAACAAATGTTTAACGCAGACTGAATCAAGGTTCCCCATCAGGGTAACACTCACTCGGTGGTCTCAATTTCTAAGAAATAGAAAGCCGTGATGGAAATTCACGTTCATCTGTACCTCCCCACTGCCTGGTACAGAAATTTCAGTATTTATTCATAAAGAAGCAAATGAATGCTAAAAAAGCAACATGGCGAAAATTGTAAATTTCGGCAATCAAGAAGACGATCGGGAAAACTAGCACCTGCATTTATTTAGACGACGCTCTTTGAAAAATGTACGCTTGCCCCTGGAGCAATGTAGTGTTTATCAGAGCATGCATGCAAAATTTTTAGCTGAACTAAACTTAAGTCAGTCGTAATTTCATGAGAATTTACGTATTTGTTTTTTCCGATGATAAAAACGAGTGTAGGTGTTCAAAACGCGAAATTGTAGAACTTAAAATGCTCAGTTACGCGCTATGCCGAAATCCAATTCACGAAAGAGTCGGCATCCGATTTGACGTATCACTGACAGATGACTGTTAGTAAACCGCAAGTGCAGTTGTAGTTACACAGAGCATTCACGCAACCATTAGGTATTAGGTCATAAAGCCGTAGAGCCCCCCTGCCCCGACAAGAAATGCTTAAAGACGTTCAGTGGATTTGCGGCAGATACTCCTAATGCGAATGACCCGACATGCAGTAACAGTTAGGAGAAATGACGCTAGCTCCTTGACTGCTGCATATTTGATAACGATCCAGCAACACCTACGAGCCTGACGACGACAAAATCTCCGCCAAAGGGGACACAGATGTGTGCCGCCAGCTGCTTCAGTCATTTAATTACCAGAACAATGTCTCTCCGAACCCATATCTCAGGTTGCGCTTTTGTCTGGGAATAATAAGCCATGAGGGGGGAGCTAGACGAAACAGTTAGGAGATATCGGCATAAAATGTTCATTCGTCTGGCATATAATGATGCGTTCTACCTTTGACTAGGTAAAAAAGACCTACGATCAGCCTGCAAATATATCTGACCTTCCAAGTTTTTGCCGCCAGTAAGTAAGGTGAACTGCACATGCCTAGGCAGAATGCGCATAGTCAATGATGAACTGAGAAAGTAGTCGGTTCTAATTTTATCTAATGGCCAAAGCGAAAAAATTGCAGCACATTCAGATTGTTATCGTTGTCAAAAAGTCGCGCATGCTAAATGCAGAATGCGAGGGCTCTCAAAGGCTTCTGCGAATCTGAATCATCCTCACAGATGATCGTGTGTGTACCTTGTCAAAATACTGCATTGCTATGCTGAAGAGAAACTGTCAAGCCACAGTCTATTTTCCTTAGCGGAATGATATGGGAATTCTTCGCACTGTAAATGTGGGCCTCTTAATAAAACGACAATATAACTTAAACAAACAAAATAAAATTAAGCTAAAACCACGAATTCTGTTTTTGACTTTGCATACCATAAATGACGTTCGTGCAGAAATAATTAGGACTATTAAAATATGAGTTATACCATAAAAAGAAACGAATTAGTACCTAAAGAGAAACTGGGCTGTAAGAGGACATTTAAGCCACTAATTCTACAATCAAATTTATTGCCATGCTATTTTGGTATCGATCTATTTGCGTCGCTGACAGCTGGAAGGAAGTAAAAAAGGAATATTAATTGCATTGTTTCGACAAATTGCCAGTATTATTTCAAAAAGACTGTTTAACTTTAAGGCGGACCGCAGTCCCATATCTAAATAGTCACGTTTTTCAGTGATAGACAATTATATTTGTTGTTTGATGACACACTTGGGAGATTTTATCATCAAAGGATAATCCGTTTGACATTAGTTTGATCTTTTTATTTTTGGATGCGCTTAAGAATTTAATCATAAAAATGTAATTGACGTGCCCAGTGGCCGCGACCAGTAGCTGGAGTGAATTACGGACGCCGGGCAAAGTGTTTATGATCAGTTATCCGTGGGGTTGATCAGAAAATGTAGTAAGTTTTGTTTTATAGTGGACTGAAAGTGAACGTATTGTGATGTGATCAAACTGATCATCTAGTGAAGAATTATGTAAGGGCAAAAGTAATCTAACAGTATGTCAAGGCCTCTTAGAACATGAGTCTTACTTTCAGACTTCACTGTTACGCTGGAAGTAAATTTTCATGCAGAGATTCCGGTCACCTACCGGAGAAGCATAAAAGATTACATATCTGCATATTATGCCAGACACTTCAATGATGCATAAGAATATTTGACGCTAGCACGTGCATTCAGACATTTGATATGATTTGTCGTCCGGAGAGTGCGAAAACATGAGTGTTTCTGAATCGCAAGAATATGAGTGATCCTGTCACTCAAGGCGCGATAAGGTGTGGATATATATATCGGGAGGCAAGCATCCCAAGAAATATAATTTGGAGCCAAAAACGTTCTTTGGGACAAGTTAAGAATTTTAGTAGGCAAATTCAAAGCAAGCATCGTTTGTTTGCTTTTAATTCATTCCGGGGAAACATTGCTTCAATAGGTAAATTGTTGGCGATTGTTTCTCATGTCGCCTTCAGACTTGAGCGAAATGTTAATTGTTTTTGTAGATTCACTCGAGTGTAACGTCGACATCGGGCAACAGAGTCGACGTTTTACCTGATACAGTTATCTATTTAACACAAACAACGCTTTATCCTATAAAATTAGACAAGAACATAAGTGTGGGGCAAATGTATATTTCTAAAATTAATGGGGCGCACGTCTCGAACTGCCTTAAATGCTTTGCTTGTACCTTGTGAAATATACGTGATTTGTTGTTCAGTGTGAGAATTGAAATCAGACATCCTTGTGGCGCTTAGACATCTAGACGGATTATCATTATTAGGTGAGTCAATCTTCACATCTTATGGTTTAGTGGTTGATCAACAAACTTTTGCTCACATGTAGCTTCACTGACGAACATCGTTGGAGGGTAACACCTTTCAATGAATGAAAACTTAAACATAGACTACGAATAATATCAGGATGCGGACAGACGAGGGACAGGTATCAGCCCGTTCCTCTATGGGCGAGTCGGAGGAGGATTGTCAAGAGACGTGTATAAAAAATGAACAGCACTTTTACAACACGGAGTAATTCTGCACATAATTGTCATTACCAAGTGCGGTATTCCAAATGGTGACTGCATTCACCAAAAACCAAAAGCGGCGTGACTGTGTGTGTAAGAGTTAAACAAAAATAACGCATGGCGAAAGCAAATGTATCGAGGATATTAATAATATATCAGGGTGGCGGTGGACTTCGGGCAAAATCCTATTTCGCGGCCGTACCTGTTAGAGATAAGGGTTTGGAGTTAGGGGCTAAGGTGAGGGTTTGGGTTTGGGGTTAGGGGTAAGGGGTTGGGGTTAGAAGAGTACGGTCGAGCGACTAGCTAACGGACTAGCCATAATGAATATGGAATACCCACCTTCAACTAGAAGAATGTAAAAGTCAAATGGCCAGATACAGAATCTTTTTGTTCATATTTATTGCATTACAGTCGGCGTCGGACGTTCGATTCTGTCTCCACGCTCACAATCATCGAAAACATTCTTTGTAGTGGGTATCCAACAGGCCCCTTTTTACAAACGAGTACAAGTCAGTAGGTATCTTTAGGAACGCTTATAAAATGGGCTCTTCGCATTTAATAGCGCGTGCAGTAGCATTTGTTGGTGAACCGAAAAACTGAAGGAAGGACAGTCGGATCTTGTTCGGTGCATTGATTTCCTTTCCCCAATAAGTAATATCGAGAGTCGCCTCTAATTTCGAGTCAGGTAGGCCGAAGAGAAGTACTATTTCCTAATATAACAACAAGTCGATTATAATAACGGGTTTGATGTAACGCACACAATAAAAAAGTAAAATATAACACGAAAGCCCTCCACGCTTATTTTCTTAATCGCTTTTGAACATGTAATTTGGCTTCAAGATATGGTGATCGGCATGCGTACTGTAGGTATTTGGCGGGCACTACGTCTCGTAGGAATGTGCATGTGAAGTGTAGGGATGCCCGGTCTATAAGCACTTTCAAAATCAA